TCGGGGGGGGTATTATTTTATATGCACAGGGGTTGTATTTTTTTTGTGTGTGGGGGCGGGTGGGATAGTAGAAGTGTATTAAGCTGCATTCACACCTCTATTTTAAGTGCTATTAGGTATTAGGGATTTCTGCATCAGGAACTTGCGTTTTCCTGCAGCAGAAATCCCTAAATTGGCGTTTACAAATGGCAGCTGTCACCTAAGTTAATGATCAGGTGACAGCAGTTGCATGTAAACGCCTGCACACCGCATGTAAAGATACGTGATATGTTTACATTCAGTTAAGAATCAATCACTCTCCCTGGACACAATGATTGTGCATCCAGGGAAAGTGTTTTCTAACCGCATGTAATCATATCACGTATCATTACATGCGGTGGGCAGGCGTTTACATGGAGCTACTGTCACCTGATCATTAACTTGAATAGGTGACAGCTGCCACTTGTAAACACCAGATTAGGGATTTTTGCTGCAGTAAAACGCACGTTTCTGATGCAGGAATCCCTAATCACACCTAAACCTACAGGTATGAATAGGGCCTTATTGTGTATATATTGGTGTCTGTAGCACCATACCGGATACAGATACATTTTATTTTAAAGTATGAAATTTGGCAAGCGGCCCTAGAGACAGAAGAGGTGGGGGTGAAGATGGCAGAGACACCGAGGGAAGAGGTGGGAGGCGTCGCCGGAGCTCCAGTCGGGCGGCGAAGATGGCAAGGAGGCCGTGTCGGGCGCCAAGGATGAGGAGGCGTGTTTCAAAGAGGTCAGGCCATCAGGCCATGCAAGGTAAGAGGACTGTGCTGGCAGAGCCCAGCATAGATTCTGCACGGCCCACCAAAGAGTCTCAGGTGTGCTGTGCAATACCTTTTGGTTGGCTCTGCAGGATCCGTAGGGGGCTCCGCTGCCTGCAAAGCCCAACACAAACCCTGCAGAGCCTTCCTCAGATCCTGCAGGATCTGTGGGGGGCTTTGCCGGGTCTCAGGGGGCTTTGCAGGATCTGTGGTTGGCTCTGCAGAATCCATAGGGGGCTCCGCTGCCTGCAAGGCCTACCTGAGACCACAGCCGAGTGGGGTACATTTAGTGGGGGGGGGGGTACTGAGTTTTGTCTTGCGTAGGGCAGCCCCAAACCAGAATACACCATTGGGAATGGGTGAAGCTACAATAGCCATCTATATACTCTAACCACAAGAGTGAGTACTACAAAAGGGAACTAACTCAAGGGAGAATTGTTAGTTTTTTCTTATTTATGAGGCTCTTGCAATAAATAGTAACTGGATTTGAGACTTGTTTAGACTGCTACGCAGAAGTCTTCAGATGTTATTTAAAATGTTCCTCTACAACATTAGCAGAGATTGTTTAAAACCTAACCATTATAAAAAAAACAGTAACTGTTTTGTCATACTATGTAAATGGGGGAGCAGTCTGTCAGTCTGCAGATCACTGTATAACATTGAGATTGTATGGTCTTAAGTTTATCTCACTTTCTTACAATTCTGTCTATTGGGCCAGTGTGTACTATTGTACCCTGCATAGTAAAACTTTTTTTCCATCCTGACAACCCTGTCCCTAGGAAGCCTGGGATTAGGCCTATCAAGCCACCACTAAACCTCCTAAACCTTACTGAGGTCATTCAAGTATTTGTAAATTCTCTAATTTTGCAGTTAGGAAAGAGAGGGCTTGCAGGGGAAACTTAATTTTACAATGCAACATTTTATTTTTTTGGGGGGTTTACAAATTCTTTAATGTTTATAACACTAATTCCATTTATCTAACAAATACATGCACTAAATATAATTTTGAAAAGGGAATAAATACAATTATAAACATCTTCAGAGAAAGCACAAGATGTAGATACCATAAGGAATAGCATTTTAAATTTACATCGTTGTTAACTTTGGTTATATGTGTGTTAAATCCAGAGAGACATGATACTGAATATACCTGTGATCATCACAGTCCTGATTAAGGCATTGTTCATCTCACATAGTACAGGAACCGTCTCTGGTTTCAAACGATTTTCTAATATCAAAAGACCGATGAAGACAAGGTCGGACTCTACCTCTTCCCTTGTTAAAAAAATAAAGATAATAATAAAAAACCTAATATTTTATTAAAAAAATATATATTTACATACATTAAAGCATTAGTGAATGAAAAAAGTGAGAATCCTCAACACTTACTTGATAAACTGCTGCTGCTGGGACAGAATAATTCTCCCCTTCTCAATGCCCGGGAGCAATCCCCAGCTCCCTGAAACTGCCTGACCATGCAACATACAAGTAAAGCAAATGGGTCTGCAGTGCTATTAATCTGAGGTTTTCTCAGATTTTAAAAAAGCACTTACAGTCATCAACAAGTAAGCTTTCAAGGTTTCAGAGGTTCTTACCGTGAATAACTCCTTGTGGTCAGATCTTTCATTTGTAGTATTGTTTTATATGCCAGGCCAATCACTCTGAAACCCTGCAGTGTGTATTGCTGGAGTTCATCATAGAAATCCCCAGGAACTGAAGACAGAAACATATGCAGATGTTGTGATTTACTTTACTTCTTCACCTAATATGGCCATCACAAAGCCCATAAGGTAACTGTTTTCAATCATAACTTACATAACTTGCATACCTATCACATGATTTAATAGAACCTAAAAAAGCAGTGCTCTACAGAACTACAATATTTATTCCCCTTGGGCTTTCCAGATGATGAAATGAATGTTGTTTATTACTGATTCAGTAGGTAATTTGCCCAACGTTTGCCCATATTTGGCCAATATTCAAATTTTCTCACTCACTCTACAACAGTGGTTTTCTGCCATTTTCAAAGGAGACTCATGCAAAATTAACTGGGTAAAAAAAGGTCAACTAACATTCACCCATATTGACCCACATCTGTTCCTCCATGGGAAAAGTAGTTTACTGTACTGTATTTATGATTGAGTGAATGTTGATCCAACTATTACTTGGTTTGGAGTGGGTGAATGTGCATTTTAAAGCACTACTTGCTTTGAAACTGTGGATTTTTTTGTCTATGCAGTGTACTGAACCTGTATTTGTATCACAGGATGATCACTTCCAGTGAGAGATCCTCTCAGAGCTATGCAGCCCATCATGCCAGACATGCAGGGCTTGTATATCTGCATGTCCTTCAGCACTGCAGGGTGTTTTTAAAGGGATTTCACACCAAAAAACAGGTTTTATGTCCCAAAGTATTGGTGCCCGATGGTGGTGGTCAACAAGCTCCTTGGTGTCCATGATGCCCAGTAGTGGGTGCCATCAACAGAGAGCTTATGTAGCATGTAAGTATGGTAAAGAGACTAAAATATTTAGTTTCTGAGAGTTTTGGGAAGTTACTTGTCTACCTTGTGGCATTCATTCGAATTTACTTTGTGGAGAGATGTGTTGGCAAATTCATCCATTGTTTGTTGAGCCGGAGTTAATGAGGGAATAGGATCAGTGAGTGATATTATGACATCATCAGTATACAGTCTTAATTTATGTTCCTGTATGCCTCTCACATTCAGGTTAATTCTGATGGCTTTTGCTATAGGCTCCATAACCAAGGCAAAGATCTGAGGTGAAAGAGGACATTCCTTCCTATTGCCACTGGTATTCATAAAGGGAGCAGTCAGTGGTCTAAGGTGAAAACTCTGACACGTGTACAGTATACAGGGCCTGAATAGCAGTGTTCATGAAACCTGTGAGCCCAATTTTAAGAAGAACCTCTCTCAGATTGCAGGGTTAAATTTAAAAATCTCCTGGCCCCGTCTGGGGCTCATTAGCCATGAATAAAGCCAACATGGTTTACCTGGTCAGCAAGGGATGTAGGGGCTTACTTAGTTTAGTAACCACAAGGATCTGCAAGACTTTGTTGGGGTATATACCTGTCTCAGTTGGAGATGTAATGTAAATGATGAGACATTGAGGTTGGTTTACTAAAGGCAAATAGGTTGTTCACTTTGCAAGGGAATTTTGCAGGGCAAGTTTCACCTTAGTTTAGTAAATGAGGTGAAGCAGTGCTGCCATCATTGAGTTATATGCAAGCAAAAATACTGTTTTTTTATTTTCCTTTCTTCTAATTTGGGTATTCTTTGCAATGAAAAATGTCACTACATTTACCAAGCCAAGGAAAACTTCCCCAGCAATGTGCAAATGCCCTCACAATGTGAGCAGCCCATTTGTCTTTAGTAAATCAACCCCATTAAGTCTTTATAGTATGTTGGGCTTTCTACTGCAGAAGAATGTCCATTTTATATCTTTAGATTACATACATAGCTTTGTAAATTATTCTTCCCTTCAGATAACACTGACCTGTCTGTCAACAAAGAAAATGCTACCATTATTATAGACTAAAGCTAAATTGCTAAAATTGCCTTACATCATACATTAAATTAGAACTGAAGCCAAAACATTTTTTATTTTTGGATAGAGTAGGGGAAGGTTATAACCCATGTAACCTTTTATTTGCCATCTGTTTCTCATTGGAGAGATTTTCCTTCAGTTGCTGTCCGATAGTGAAAACAGGAAGTGAGACGAAATCCCTTCAAAGTGAAGGAAATCTATGGTGGTCAACAGGGTAGATTTACTTCTGTTCTAGTGGTAACCTAAAATTTGAGATTCTCTTTTATTTTATTCTCTTTCAGTGACAACAGTCACTAGGACAAATAGAGGGGAATACTCTCCCTAACAGGGTCAGAGATAGCAATAGAAACCTGACAGGTATGGCAAAAAAAGTTTGGTTTCAGCTGCACTTTACATTTTCATTCAAATTACATAATACTTTACAGGTAAACACTTCCTAGCGTGAAAAGCAATAATTTAATAAATATATCCTTTAAAAAAATATATGATCTGTTTAAAAAGCTAAAATTTAAACAAAATTTGTAAGACATTGCTGCCAAAATATTAGTAGTTGATGAGAATTAAACATATAGAACTATGGAGATTTTATAGTGTACTGTGTCTGCACTAAAAGCCTCCAAGCCAAGAGGCTCCCATAAATTAGAGTTAGGACCACACTACACAGAGGGGCCTTGATGAGGCAGTGTGGGTTCCATATGTTCGGCGGAGCCGAAGGCCAGAAGGACTTTGACACAGCCGATCCAACATCTGGATCGGCTGAGCCAAAGCTCCGGCAGCTCGCTTAGTGCCGTTTGCCCCTATTCTTCATTCATAGGGCCCTATTCTCATAGGGGCAGCCGGCTATTCTGTTTGGTACTTCCGTGGTACTGAGCAGAATAGAAAATCAATGAAAATAGTTTTTTAAAAAAGTTTGAAAAAATATTTTTTAAATATAAATAAATACCAAAATTTAAAAATAAATAAAGATTAAAAAAAACAAAGTCTAGATCCGCCCAACTATTTACTATTGGCCAACACCTGCTAGAGCCTTTTAGCAGGTCCCAGCCAATGAATAATAACTGGGCAGAGCCAGACCGTGATGTCACGGTCGGCTCCATCCAGTTTTTATTGTTTAATGTCAGATCAGCGTCCCTAGGTAATTTGGGGACACTGATCCGTCATTACAACTGAGCAGAGCCAGCCGTGACATCACGGCTGGCTCCACTCAGCTGTCATTTGCGGGGCTTATGGCCGGCCTTCGGCAGGCTTTTCGCCCCGCTTCGGGTGTCACTTTGGCTCAGTCGAGCTAAAGCATATGCCTTCGGCTCGGCTAAGCCGCTCGACTGCCTTCAGCTGCTGTATGGGCTATAGTGAATAGCCCGTACAGCAGCCCTTTAGTTCGACTGAACCAAAGGGCTCTGGCGGCCGTAGAGAGCTGAAGAATCAGCTGAAGTACGGCTGGATCCTTCAGCTCCTTCGCGAATAACCCCCTTGGACTCTCTTGACCCCAACACAATGTTTTGGCCATGTGCATTACTGTATATTGTTAGGTGAATCTCAATATCCTGAGATTAAACTTTATTTTATACACCTAAGTCTATATACCTGATTCTGGACAGCAAAACCTTATCACCATTTCTGGGGCCCCCTTCATGAAAACCAAATGTTCTCCAATTCCAATCACCTGAGATACCATAGACATACGCTGGAGGCTGGAGGAAAATGGAAACTGTTGTAGGATGATAAGGCCATCTGGAAGCTGACAGGAAAACAAAATGCATGTATGCAAAATATAATCAGAATGTGACAGTAGCCAATTTTTACAGCCAAACATATGTCACCCAAAATTGTATATTGCATTAATAAATAAGAACTATGCTAAGTAAAATCGACATGAAATAACCCTAGTGCAATTTTACTAAAACCACAACCCTTTCTGTACACAGAAACATGTGGTTGACACAGCAGGTGGAGTGCAGAGAAATAAGCAACACTGGTATAACACAGTGCAAAGCAGTTCTCAGCAGAATACTGCAAAACAAAGGACTTTTTGGTGAGGGCCCGGTAATAATTAATAAAAATCAAACATGAAACATACCACAATTTTTTTTAACATTTGGGCTATGACTTCAATTGACTGTTAAGAGTAGACATTAAAGTGTAAAATAGCATGCACTTATTAGATGCTCATTATAAAAGTGACACCTTGCTGTATGCAAATGTGTAAGTTTAGGGCTTATGTTGACAGGCATTTGTTTAGGTTGGACTGGTTTTGTATTCCCATACGAGTCTATGAGAGTGAAAAACCTGCTTGAAGTAGGTCAAATGCAGGTCAAATGAGGTCAACTGCAGGTAAAATGCACCTGTCAACAAATTCTGAAGATTTTAGAAGCATCTCAAACTGATGTTAAACCGAAGCCATACCGAAGCCATACAAACTAACCCAAAGTTTGCCAACATGAGCCCTAAGGTTTTTAACATACTATATTACTTACTGAACTGGTAGACATTTTTGGTTTTACAATAAGATGGTGTTTTCTTGTGGCCTCCTGACAGCTGTCCACTTGATCTCCACGTGATTCATCTATTTCCTGTAGAAATAGGGTTTTTTTTTTGTTATCATAAAAGAAATCAAATTAATTTTAGCACATGAATAAAATAATGTATACTTTTGAGCCTTTGATTAAAGCTTTCCTACTAAAGGTTGGTAACATTTAAGCATTGTTCTATAATTTTACCCATTTGGTTCCTTCAAACATTTTCAGGTCCAGAGGATCACCTTGAATCTTCCCATCAAGAAAAATTAGTGAGTGGCAACAGGCCATTGCCCCTAGAAGTGGGCTCCAGGGCAAACTATTTCCACTTGTAAACATGTGTACTTTCTGAAATCTAAGCACAAATGTATTTTAGAAGCAGTAGGTAGACATTTGGGTTTTCACAGTACATTATGCTTTTATTTATATAAAATTATACTTTCTTAGTTTTGAACTTTCCTGCTAGTGAAAGGTATTGCCCCCTGTAACTGACCTCAGCTTAATTTTGAAAATACTGCCCTCCTGAAGCTTATTCACACCCTTAATGTATTTAAAGCTTTCAGTCATGTTCCTCCTTTCTCTTTTAACCTTAAAGCTGTACATATTAAGTTCCCACAGTCTCTCCTGATATTTTATATCTTTCAGACCTTGCACCATATTTGTTGTCAACTTCTGGACTCTTACTTTAGCAATATCTTGCTGTAAGTGAGGTCTCTAGAGCTGGACACAGAATCAAGATTTCCTTTAACTTGCTGGGGTTCCCTCTAATGGTGTTCTCCAGAAATCTATTTGCTTTCCTCACTGCCTGGCCACACTGTTTGCTTATTTTGAAATCATATGCAACGGGCACCCTAAATATTTCTCTTTTGTAGCTCTGGTTAACACTTTATCCCCAATATTGTAATCTATAAGGGGATTATTTTCCCTAAGTGCATTTGATTGCATTTAGAAATACTGAACTGCAGTTTCCACTGTTTTGACCAATATGTCAGCACTGCTAAATCATCCAATGTTACAAGCACCAACAAAAATATTAGCTGATTATATAACTTTTTGTCATCAGCAAAAAGGCATACCTTAGCAACCAAACCTTTAGTCATATCATTTCAAAACAGGACATAGTACAGAGCCTTGTGGTGCACTGCTAGTGACTGGTCTTTGTTCTGAATGAACCCCATTCACAGCCACACTCTGATGTGTATTCTTTAGCCAATGGTGTATCCACTGAACCACCCAATGGATTACTCTTTAATAAGATGATTATGTAGACCTGTTTACAGCCATTACCATGTGTACCCATTCTGTTAGTTTGCAATTTAATTTATATTTAGGCAGCATAAAGCACTGTAAAACAGTTAGATCAGTGAGATAACGAGGAACGTCAGTCTTAGGCGAAACATAACAAAGAACTATGGCAGGAGATCTCACTGAGATATCAGACTATGGGTAAAATATATATTGCACCTTTAAACACACACCATATAAGATAACAAAATAAAAATCTAACAAGATAGATACTCAACTTGTTGACAAATTATATAGTGTATATGAAATAACATACCTGCTTTCACTGGAAGGAACAACACCCCACAAGTCAAGCCCATCCTCCGTTAAAGTACCGGTCTAAAGAAAAAACAATGGTCAACATCATGGTACCCTAAGTGATTTATCACTTTATAACAATACACTAAAAGTGTTTCCTAAAGAATTATAGGGTAACTTACTGAAGAATGTAAAGAAGAAAGAGGAACTACTTTCATATAAATTAGCCATGTAACATTACCACAAAAGAAATGTAATAAGAACTCTTAACAAAAAAAGAAGAGAAAACAAGCAAGAATGTATTAATAAAGCAGCAATTGATCAATAAACTGCTTTTTTTGTCTCTTACTAACAATACTTCATGAACCATTGTATGCTAATGAGGAATAGTATCCATGGAGTGTGGCTTGAACAGCATGAGCATGTGCCTGAATTTGATGATTTGTTAAGTGAACAGCCTACTTGACTTTAGTAAATTAACCCCAGTATACAAGGAGTATGGGTCTCGCTCACAAGCATTTCAAAGTGGCAGGGGTATGTGGATCACAGGACAAGCTAAACAGGATTACATATATTTTTGCAGGCAAAACATCTCATATATATGTTGAAAAAGTGTGTTTTCTTTGATTTAATAGGTCTTGTTCAATCCAGATAATTTTGTCTATATCAGGAGATTATTTTATTTCATTGGATAAAACCAGCCAACCATGGCTGAAGGTTCTTGGAAAAGTAATGAATATTTTCAGCAGTAGGTGTGTCTGCATCCTATCCGTTCTACCATACCATGGCATGTACCTACACACATTACACAACCAGCATAAAGAATTGTTCAATAGCATTATTATTTTGTGTTGAGGTCATCATATTTGACAAGATTTCCAAGTCTTTGGCTAATTAAAATATTGGCAGTATTCTTCCATGAGATTACAGAACTTGAAGTCAGCTGCTTACAGAAAATACACTATATTACCAAAAGTATTGGGATGCCTGCCTTTACATGCACATGAACTTTGGCATCCCAGTCTTAGTCCGTAGGGTTCAATATTGAGTTGGCCCACCCTTTGCTGCTATAACAGCTTCAATTCTTCTGGGAAGGCTGTCCACAAGGTTAAGGAGTGTGTCTATGGGAATGTTTGACCATTCTTCCAGAAGCGCATTTGTGAGGTCAAGTACTGATGTTGGGGGAGAAGGCCTGGCTCGCAGTCTCAACTCTAATTCATCCCAAAGGTCCCAAAGTCAAGTTCCTCGACCCCAAACTCTCTCATCCATGTCTTTATGGACCTTGCTTTGTGCACCGGTTGCTCAGTACTGTTGGAACAGGAAGGGGCCATTCCCAAACTGTTCCAACAAAGTTGGGAGCATGAAATTGTCCAAAATGTCTTGGTATGTTGATGCCTTAAGAGTTCCTTTCACTGGAACTAAGGGGCCAAGCCCAACCCCTGAAAAACAACCCCACACCATAATCCCCTCTCCACCAAACTTTACACTTTGCACAATGCAGTCAGGCAAGTTTCGTTCTCTTGGCAACCGCCAAACCCAGACACGTCCATCAGATTGCCAGACAGAGAAGTGTGATTCGTCACTCCAGAGAACACGTCTCCACTTCTCTAGACTCCAGTGGTGAAGTGCTTTACACCACTGCATCTGACGCTTTGCATTGCATTTGGTGATGTAAGGCTTGGATAAAGCTGCTCGGCCATGGAAACCCCTTCCATGAAGCTCTCTACGCACTGCCAATCTGAAGTTTGGAGGTCTGTAGCTATTGGCTCTGCAGACAGTTGGCGACTTCTGCGCACTGTGCGCTTCAGCATGCGCTGACCCCACTCTGTCATTTTACGTGGCCCACCACTTCATGGCTGAGTTGCTGTTGTTCCCAGTTGCTTCCACTTTGTTATAATACCACTAACAGGTGACCGTGGAATATTTAGTAGCAAGGAAATTGTACGGAAACACCTGAATCCAATGATTTGGAGGGGTGTCTCAATACTTTTGGCAATATAGTGTATTACTTTATTAACCTTTATCCTAAGTTTCTTCAGTACTCATAAGCTCATGATTTTCTTTTAGTTACTGTAAATTTTACTAAACTTTTTCTATATACTTCTTGTATAGGCAAAAAAGTGGAGGAAAGGGTTTATGGAGAGATATATCAAACCATGCGTAAAACTATATCAAATTTATTATACATAAAATTAATTGTGGAGGTCGCACCATTTGGAGCAGTGAGCCGAGGACAGCACACCTTCATACACTTTGGACCTAAATTAGGTAATCCCCTTTTTTAATTTTTAATTTTGTTTGTCACTTTTTGAGGCTTTGAATTGTTTTGCGGTTTAATTAGTGGGAATTTCACACACCAAGGAATATCAATTAGCAATATTTATATCTTCCCACCTAGGATTTGGGACACACATATGTAATTGCCATGGTTTAGACTATAGACACCTATGCACATGTTATATATACTCATTAACAGTAACTGACTGTCACTTAAACTATGGGGTCAGGGCTTTTCCCCATAGTTCTCCTTAGGGCAACGGGAGGACACAAACTAGCATCCTCCCGTTACCCTAAGCTCAGTATACCGCGAGCTGCAGCTCGTGGTATACTGAGACGCCACAGCCGGAGCGGATCCCAACATCGATGTTGAGATCCGCCCAGCTGCGTGAGTGACAGCTGGCTCTGCCTATCTAGAGGCAGGGCCAGCTGTACCCGCCCCCTCCCCGTCCGTTCAGCCAGTCAGCGCTGGCGGATCGGAGCGGGGAGAGGGGAATCCAGCCCCTCCCCTGTCACGGCAGAGAGCCGTGACAGGATCGAGAGGTGAGCGAATGCCGGTATATGTTCGCTCACCTCCCGATCTACTCAGCCGACCTGTGACAGTCTCATTGTCACAGGTCGGCTAGAACTATGAGGTGAGTGAAAAGCACTCATCCTCATAGTTCTCCATTAAGAAAACTTATGAATAATTTTTCACCTATATACTTATATATATATACATATATATCTACATTATACACATCACTTATTCATATGATAAGAATAAATTATTGCACGAGTTCACATAACACATATCCATCCTTATAAGATGGCACATTTTAGAGATCATGGATAGGGGTGGCCAACAGCGGTCATGCCATATATAAAGATATGTATGTTTTAATGTGTACACTGCTACGCACTAGATTTATGAATTAGGAAGCAATATCAGTAACATTAGCTGATTTTTGCTATATGTTCCTCGTAGGTCATTGTTCCGAATGGGGATATTTCGGCTCTCTTACATTGCCCAGGACATTCCTCCCCTCAAGGCCCCGGGGTCCCGGTAGAGATGATGGACGGTATGTGGTGGCAGGGCTACATCTAGCCACCCACCCCATTCCTGTCCTCACTACAGCGATCCACCCCCAGGTACTCTATGCAGGTGAGTGCCAGATGCCCGCTTAGTGTGGGGCTATCCGCATACGGGATCAATCCCAGTAATGTGTTCCCCCACTTACTGTAGGATTACTTATCAAGATTAGCATGCCCAAATGTGATGATATACAATGCAAATAATCTCATTTCCATTTGATAGATTAGTCTGATCCCCTGAAGAAGCATAAGTGCGAAACGCGTAGGGATTAATCATGTTGGGATGAATTATCTGGAATACAGTTTGAAGAACACACCAATGAATTGATCATTTGGAACAAATCATGGCTTATATGTTTTAGAATTAACAAATTAATTTATGTATGTTGGGCTATTTAATGAGAAGGGATGAACCATGTTGGGCAAAATTGGGATATTGCATCCATGTATGTATGTAATAATGTTATTTATGAGTTTTATCAACTGTAATGACCAAGCAATGTTTTTACTACTGCAAATAATTTTATGTATAATAAATTTGATATAGTTTTACGCATGGTTTGATATATCTCTCCATAAACCCTTTCCTCCACTGTTTTGCCTATACATTACCTATTAGGGGGAGAGATCAATGCAAGGAGCCAGGGTGGGGGCGACCCACAAACATTTTCTATATACTTCTTACCTTTTTGGTACTGTTAAAAAAAACCTTCAGTTTTGCCAGCCACACATACTACAATTTTTAAGCAATTCCACCAAAGTACAACCAGCTTTCAATGGCTAAAACAACCCAACAGATCACGGCAACCTATCACCAGGACAGGATCATTTGTGATTGTTGAAGGCTCTATTGTTAGTAGATTGCATTCACCCATTTGTTTTGTTTTTTGCAACCTAATGCTGATTGAGGGTGCTTCAAATTGTTTTAAAACTGCTGTGTGCATCCTGGAAAAGTCAATATAAGATATTCCAGAAGAAAAGTTTTCAGAGGTGTTATATTTTCAGTTGTTCTTACTTTATCGAAACAAACCAGATTTATTCTCCCACACACGTTGATCCTTTGGGGGCTGATGCAAAATATTTTTTTCTTTTTAAGCCGCTTCTGGGCATACATGATGCCTGTTGCCACTGCAGCAGGAAGTACAGGAGGAATGGCAACTGTGACAACAATGAATGACTTGACAATAATGTCCCTTGCAGTTGCCTAGAGCATAGAAAATAAAGAAAAAGTAAATACAAGTGACACTGACAGTCCAGTAGTAGATAATTCTTATCCAAAATCCCTTCACCCCAGTGTGTTTTTTTTTAACATTTTGTAACAATAATCAGGAAATTGAAAGCTCAAATATGTTAATTTGTCTCTTTAGTGAACATTTTTTTTGCTAGTCAAGGGTGTCCTGTACTGTAGTACGTTGTGAAAGGGATATTATTAATGGCTTAAAAAAAATTCTGTTTTATGTGGTATGCATGGTTCTCATTCTGTGTAACGTGTATATTTTTCTGTGAGAAACATTATATATAAATGTATTGCAAGTTTAGAAGAGCAGAAATGTTGATATCATCATTCACTTACCCCTTTAACTGTGAATAGTACCACAGAGTATATAAATCCAATAATAGCTATAACAACAAGGCACATCAAGAACCTAAATGCATCTCTGTACAGCTTGAAATTCATAGGCTTAGGATACAGAATGGATCGCACCATATCACCTTTAGCTGTATTGAAACCTGGATGAGAACGAACAGTATCAATAAGTATCAATAAACAGGCAAGTATGCTTACATTATTTAGATATTTGTGTTAGCAAATAAAAAGAGGGATGTAATTCCCCAAAGAGTATAGAAAAAAGCCTCCATTTGTCTTCTATGTATAAACATTTTTCATTCCAAATAGATTAGGGGCTGTTCACGCCAGGCAGTTGTAGTAACACAAAGTGCAATACTACTGGTTGCTGCAGTGCCATTCATGGCAACCTAACAAACCTCCATTGCAGTGCAATGTACAGTAACACACTACATTTAAGATATCATTATCCATATCCATGTGACTCTATTATGAAGGTACAATAGTTAACTGCTCTAAAGGTCATAATAATAATAATAATAATAATAATAACAGCACCTAATATTTTTTGTGTTAGAAAAACTTCTTAGACTAAGGAGGGGAGGCATTTGGGCAAATATATAACTAAGGAATTAAGTTTTGTCGATTTCAAGTAATGCTATGTGAATGAGAACATGTAACAAATATGAAATAGGTGGTACCTCAATTGGCTGCAAAAGTGGAAATACACTTTAATAGGGTAGTCCTTTGAGTACTTTAATGGATTGTTGGATTATGTGCCAATAATACGGAAACCAAGAACATAACTCTATCTGTCATCAATATATGATATTCATCTTTGTGTTGGTGTCAATGCCCTACTGTGTACCTGGGGAACTTTTAAGTGAGCTGTCTGAATATTCACAATCCTACTTCTAAATTACCCTGAGTGAAACTTGTTTTTGAGTGTGGTTTTCTTCCCTTTCCTCCTACAGTATGTATAGAGCAAAAGCACAATGTTTCCTATTTGTGAAGCAGTTTAATGCCACACTGTTTTAATAAAAATAGTTATTTTTTTATTTTTTATTATGCTGATAAATATATATAGTATTATTATTATTATTATTATTATTTCTTCATCCTTTTAATGCTGTAATTGTATCTGACAGTTATAGTTTTAAACAGAGGCACACCGTCAGCTTTAGGCTTCAGTGGCGTCTGCAGGCTGAAAACATATTTTGTCAATAAACCCTCCAGCCTCCCTGTCATCACTATGTCACCGCTGACATATTAATGACGTGATTTTATAAATATTGGTATTCGTGGCTTGTGGATGTCCCCCCCTTTTTGTTTATAAATAAACGACAGCTGCAGCGAAAGACCAACAAAGCCAAAAGCAATATGGCCAAGCGAGTGCTAAACCAATACACTGCACTATTGATTACATGGTCTGGAACACTCTGGTTACCAAACAACTTGTTCTGATAGGTATGAGCCATGTACAGTGACAAATGGTACCTGTCAAGGAGGAGGTGTAGATTAACCTACTTTCAGAATGGGGCATTGTGTAGGGTAATGTTAATCTACAAATTAAGAGCGTGAAGCAGGAAGCAATATCAAAAGTACTTGCAGGCAGCACAGCCACGTGGATTTATTTTTTAACCCCACCACTATATACACACACCAATTTGTATAACACCCAGAACAAACCAGTTTGCAGTACAACTGCTGTGGCAGGAGTAGAGCCAGATGGTGTTGTCTGAATGACCTCAGTACCACAATATAGCACATGTCTCTTGTAATCTTCCCCACTATGGACTTTCCATGGGAGGCAGTCGGTATCATTGTCAAGGGGAGTTTTTGTAACTGGGATGCTCTCTCCTAAAAAATACAATTGGTGTTTTAATGAGTTATGAAACAGCCTCTATGAATTCACATTTTATTGCAGTTAAATATAAAAAAATAAATAAGAGGAGACAATTGCTCTTATTTACAATAGCATGTTTTAGGCTGGATCACTGGGTGTGCACAGTCAGAGCCCAGTTAAAGACAGTTAAAGGCTTTTAGACACTTCCAAGTATCCACCTGTACTGGTTTGCTACTGCAGGTTTGGATGAGAAAGTGATAATTTTGGAAGACAATGCCAGTATAATCTCCTGCATGAATACATCTCAGTTACCTGTTAACATGCCTTCATTGACAATGCAACTTCCTCTCAGCAGAATGCAGTCACATGGAAGAAAAAACCTTGTTCCTGTAAGGACAATCAGCTCTCCGGGAACCAAGTGTCTTGATTCCATATCTTCATTGCCTTGAATAAAGCACATCAAAACAGGAAATAACCATGTATTATATTCAACTAAAGACAAAATGATGTTTTAACTAACTAACTCAAGTCTTTTACAATAGTTTACAAGCCTGTGGCAGTTTATAGAAGAAGGTCAGAAAGCCTTATTCACTGGGAATGAGCTGTATATATAGGTTGGTAAATTAGATATATAGCAGTAATCTGCCCCAAACAATGCCTTTCAAAACTGTAGTTCTGATCTGTTTTAGAGTGTACCTATAATCAAAAGCTGATATAGAACTTTATTAACAGTCTTGTTAGGGTGGATAAAAATAGTTTTTATAGAAAGCCTGAATTACTTTACTTTTCTGAAGACAATGTGGCTCCACGCTCCCACTCACTATCCAAATATGAAAATAAAGTCCTTGTTTCTTGGGTTTCTGATGAAGTGATACTTTATGGACACCTTCTATTCTAAGAAGATATAAGTGGACAGTGTTGTAAGCTAATAAGGGATTGGTCCCTTCCCCACCCCATCCCCAGTATTACCAATTTGGAAAAGCACACCAAGCCAAAATATGCTGTCAAATCCGTTGTGTCAGAACTGAGCACAGAAGATGTGGGAAGTCCAGTGCATAGACACTTCTAATGGCTCTCCTCTAACTGATCATATGAAAACGCAGACGATCAAGTTGGGATAATGTTTGTGGAAGCATTCCCAAGATCCACAATAGCCCTTAGCCACTTTCCAGTGCCTATCTGCAAGTGTTCTTAGTTTCTTAACGTAACAACAGGGGGGAATGGACAGATAGAAGAACACAGTTCTGCATCACACAAATTATATTTTCTTGTAAATTAAAAGAATTGAATGTTAGACTAATAAAATAAAAACAAAAACTGTCAAACACATTACAACTGGAGTTAGTGTTACATAACATCAGATATATATTACAAGAGTTTAAATGGAAAGGCGATGTTTTCTTCATTTTGCATGCAGCATACTAAGAAATTATTATTGTTATTATTATTATTATTATACAGGATTTATATAGCGCCAACAGTTTGTGCTGCGCTTTACACTATAAGGAAGACATTACAATCACAATAAAATTCAAGACAAGATGGTAAGGAGGGCCCTGCCCATGAGGGCTTACAATCTAAAAGGGAGGGACAAGTGATACATGAGGAGGAAATGTAATAATGAATTGATGCACACATACACACATACACTTTAGTCATTCCACAGTTCAAAAATATATCCCTTAGAGAATTATTGTCATTTTTGAGAAGGATGAACACAATTTTGTATTGGGTTTGATTGCTTCTAGGTTCAGCCAAACTCAATGTCAAAATGAACGCAAGTATCAAAAAATGCTTCACTTACATGAAAATGTATTGTTTTTTAGCACAGGTGACAACACAACTTAATGTGCAAAAACACACATTTAAAAATCCAGTTGGGCTAGGAAAGGTATCTGTCAGGCTGGAACAATCAGGCTCAATTATGATATAGTTGTGGTTGTTCAATAGAGTTTAGTAAAATGTCTGCAGATGGGGCCTTTTTTGGGACTGGTGCGTCTGAGGCAGAGAGATGCACTATGTAAGTATGTCCACTGTTGCCTGTGGTATGAATAAACAGGGGAAACTAGCACTGGGAAACTGAGTGAAAGTGGAATGGTTTCTGTGACTGAGCCTTGTGTGGCCTCAAGTTATCAAAATAACGATTATGTATACACCTTCTTAATTCAATTAAAAGACAGATACAATTTTACAACTTAGCTTATCATTTTTATTTTTCATAATCAGGCTGACCAATTTTTTCCAGAATATCAGAAGTGTTGTGATGCCTACGTGGCTACACAACTACAGGTACACGTCCCACACTAAAAACACTAGCAGAGCATATATGCAGTGTTACACTGGCCACATACATCACATTTTCAGTGCACAGTTTGATATTCCATAATTGCTGTTTGGAATATTGAACAATCAAATTTTATTGGTCCCTGAAATAATATTCTTACAGGAAAAGTACAGTACAGTGAATGTTTGGTGAATGCCATGTGCATTGCTTTAAAGCTATACCTCTTATAATTTGCCAGGCTTGGAATGTACTTACCCCCATCACTGGTGTGCACAGTGACCACTGAACTGTTATTGGTTTCTACGAGCCGATGTAGTTTTACAGATTGCTATGCATAAATAAAAGACCATAGATAACTGATTAAATCTAGGGCAAATAAAAAGATTGTAGCTAAATGTAAGTAATTATGCTATTGATGTAAAAACAGATATAACAGGTTAATAACTAACAAAAGCAGTTAGGAAGATAATCTATTTAAATCCAGCTATGCAATTAGCTCACTTTCTATTCATAAGCAGTAAAACGAGAAAATTGTAATTCCATTGTAGACTGCAAATTATATTTTAGCTAATGTTAATGAGATTTAAAAAATGAGAGTAAGAAATAAGTGTACTAAATATAGATATTGTTGAACAATAAACCTTTAAAATACATAGAGGGACAGTTATCAAGCAGATTAGCAAAAAATAAGCACAAATGATGAAGTCTATGAGACAGATATAATGAGGGGAATTTATCAAAACTGACATAATCTGGAGCATCTGTGCATAGCAACCAGTCAGCTTCTCTCTTTTATTTTCAACTCTTAACTGAACAAACTGAAGAGAGACGCTGAATGGTTTCCATTCACACCTGCTACAGATTTTGTCTGCTCCAGTTTTGATAAACTCCCCCCAATGTATCTTTCTGACATCTGCACCTGAAATCTTGGGCAGCCAACTGGGACAGATTTCCGAAGGCCTACAACAGAATTACTTTTTGAAATCAAACAGAATTTTATCAAGATAAGACAGATTTCATCACGAAAATAGATGCACAATGCGGAAGTACTTGTAGGTTTAAATGTGTCACTGTGTAATTTTAGAATAGAGGGAGGAATTATTGAATGAAGCTATCTAATAATAGAAAATCTGTCTCATACTCTGTCTCATGGTTTCTGTTTAACATTGCCTTGCTGTGTGACAGAACGCATAAATGCCCCTGCAGAGTTTAGGCACGCTGGGTAAAAGATCTCACCTGACATACATAATAAATTGCATAAGTATTTATACTTAATTATATTAGTTACACTAGTCAGAATTGTTTATTTTATTAATTTATTTTTGCACTAACATAATTTGCAGTACTTTATTCTGAACATAAGTCAGATACCCAGGATAACATATAATCTAATGTTCTAACAAGTCATATGCAAACACATTTTTCTGGACCAGTTTGATCAGAAGCCATTTAACTTTCTAGTATGTGTTTAGAAGGAAATTACATCATACACAGTAAAATCACATCTACAGATTAAGCTGGTCGTCCACTGTAATATTTTCTCTGTTTAACCTCCCTGGCGGTATGATTATGTCAGGAATTTTGTACCAAAAGTGGTACATTGTTTTGCATGGAAATTTGGTGTTATCTGTTGAAGGCCTGTAATTCTTAGTAAATCTTAGGAATAACTCACCTAAATCTGTCCAAACAAGAGTCCAGTAGACATCCCAGGTATGATAAAGTTTGAAACACGAAATAAAAAAATTATAATATAATAAATTATAAATAATTATAAGAAATTATAATATAATAAATAATTATAAAATGCAACTTTTCACTTTTGAATTTCCCGCCTGCTGTGACGCTCGAAAACAAAACTAAAAGTCAGATGCCGGCTTTTAGTTTCATTTTCGAGCCACGTACAGCAGAGGATGCCGCGGGATCGCAGGGACAATGTGAGTGTCACTTTTCTCTGCAGCCCCGAGTCTGGCTCGGGGTTACCGCTCCTAGCATTGAAAATTCACCCCGAGCCAGACTCGGGATTACCGCCAGGGAGGTTAAACTGTGGGCTGAACAAAGTAAATATAACAAATTCCTCTATCAACGCTTCTGAGCGTTGATCAAGGAATCTTCTGCTGCCTTCATTGTATTCTGACGCCGTCCATCAGTTGCTTTCAGAAAACCTGAACAGAGCCGGCAGCTCATTGGCTGCCAGTTCTGTTCATTCAAAGATTTTCCAACAATCTCCTTTGATCAGCTGATTGAGGGATGCCAGCGGAAAGGTGCCAACAGAGGCACTCGCCGTGTGAATTTTGGCTGGTTCATCAAGGTATACAAATTTCAGACAATAGGCTGGTGCTTTTTATGGGAGCCTAACTCAAAAGCTCATGTTTATAGATAAGCAAGCTAGTTTATGATATTCCTAACAAACACTAGATTAGGCTGGTTCATTCTGAAAACATGTTCAGGCAAACCAGAAAATTTGTGTTTAATGCAGGCTAATTCACTCATTAAATTGGTGAAGTGATTCCCAGGGCTCTGTCACAAGTTTACCTTACTAAGCAGACTGAAACAGAAACTTCCCCTTGTGGATCTCCAGTTGCCTGGCAGGTCTAGTGGGGATCTTACCTTTTATGCCATAGAAGGTTATGAGGAGTTCGGGGGGATGGTTATCACCCGGTAATAATAATGGCCTTATAAGAATATAACATACTTCCATACTGGGTTCTAATATACTTTCTTATTGGGCCCATGAAGTTACAGTGGAATGGGGTGCCCACCCCTTAACCCCTCTATGTGAGAGGAACCTACTACCACTCTGTATTTAGTGTAGTAAATAGTGCTTTAGATTACTTCGTGCCAGGTCACTAACACACTAAGGATATGTAATATTAAACTACAATACCTTTCTCAGGTCATAGACAGTTAGAATGATGGAAAGCACAGTGATCACAATAATCACTATAGAATATTCAATATATCCTTCTGCCAGCCACAGGCTGAGGCTTCCAGCTTGAAAGAAATAGAATGGATTTATAACCTGATAAAAAAGATAAAACAATATATAAACCAATAAATAGATGTACTGGTATAATCTATCATTCAATATTAGATTTCAGAGATAATAGGGGAAATATGTGTATAGAGAAATCAATTCCCAATGCAAAGATTATTATGGGACTTTTAAAGAGGGAGCCTGGCAGAGGCTGTTTATTTTCTGATTGTCTCTCTTTCTAATTGAAAGTGTATAAGAGGAGTTGGGCATGCCACTGAGAAGTTCCAAACAAATAGATGAGTTTGAGTTTTCCCTGAAAAAAAATACTCTTCAATGCTACTGTACTTTTTAAAAAATCAGGTACATTTTAGTATAACAATATATCCAGAAAATGATATAATTAGGCCACCTGCTAGACTGTAAACTCTAATAAGCAAGATTCCCATTCATCCTGTTTTTTTTTATTTATTAAATTGTACGTCTGGCCAAAATAAAATAAAAATATATATATAGTACATCACTGCAATTCATGCACATTTACCTGTCTTTTACCTGTTTAAAAGTATGCCAGAAATCCAGCGAGCTCTCAACTTCATGTGGAAAAAATGAAATCCCTAGCAGTGTTTTAGCCCTGTCTAGTTCTCTTGTGCTGCACTGCATAACAACTCCACCCTATAGAACTGAGGTGATGGGACTGAGGTGAGGTTCTGTAGTCCAGCAAACCATAACTAGGCAGAGCTGACAACACTGCTTGGGTTTTCAGTGTAGCAGGGGCACTATGATGCAAGTTAAAACTGGATGCTAGGAACTCACTGGGTTTCGGCCGATCGGCTTTTTTTTCTGCATTTTTTTGCCCAAGCATACACTCTAACAGTGTTTATATGCCTTTTGTGTATACAGTACTACTGTAAAACACTATTAAATAAATAATAACAATAACCTCTTTAAAGAGTAGCTTCCATACTGGAACAATTTCAACTTCAATAGCATTTGGCCCACAAACAATCCTCCTGCAAAAGAAAGTTCATATTCAATTTTAAAGCTTCCCGGGCTGTTACATATATACAGTATATTGCCATTCATTCCTGGAAACGTATAATAAAGCAACATCTATGAATTGTTTGTAGTCATGATATTGAATATCACATATTTTGTATATGTATTTTATATATTTAATATACAGAATATATAATAATATATAACATATACATAAATCACTGCTAACTGTAAAGCCTATTGAATGTTCAGTTTAAATTAGCTAAATTGATTGCAGATACATATAAAGAGTGTTCAAAAATCATTACAGTTAGAGCTTATTTTCTTTAAAACACAACCATAATCTGTTTAGAAATTCATGTCCCATGCCTACATGCTGCATAGAAGGCCCTTGCTCTCTGTGTGAAGCAGCGGGCTCTTTACTGTAGCCGCTGTACCCATTCAAGTAAATTACAGGGTGACAGTGATTGCATCTATCAGCAGTATTCTTCATATAATCGTACATGGAACAAATACTTGCAGTTTGGGATAAATGATTGTCCCTGGATGCAGGCTAGATACATCCAGCAACAATCATCTATTCCAAGCCACATGTACCATGTACAATTACTGTACATGCGGACTGCTGCTGACAGATGTAGCTGCTGTCCCCCTGTGATTTACTTCAATGTGTACAACAGTCACCTGTGAACGGAACGCCAAGTCCATAGTGTCTTGCTGCAGGAATACCAGAACACCCCGTGTGAATGGGATCTAACTTTGCAATGAGCTCATGCCCCCTGCTGATTTGAGAACTCTATCTCCGACTCAGCAGGGGATATGTCAGAACCACTGTAGAGAGACTACTGCTTTCATAAAGAGAGCAAGGGTCCTTCTCTGCTTTTCCATTCAGGCTCTGGCTGTTGTTTTAAAGTAAACAGACTGTAACACTTTGCACACTAGTTAAGCTAAAAGTCCATTGGGACTTCAAATTACAAGGTACTATATTTAAAATATTGAAAACATTCACATTGCTTTAAAAGTTTGCTGTGAAAGTCTATTGTTCTGTGCTAAAGTTGTCATGTATGTTTACACATCCTTTAAGGTGGCAATTTTATCATCAGTCGCAGAATGCTGTGTTATTTTTGAACATGCACATTTAAGACAAATTATTGTGTAATACCTAAATGATGCATTATTTTGACATTAAAGAAAGCATGATCAGTTTTCTGTGTGCAGTCATAAGTGTGGTTATGCCTGATAACTATAAGCTAGATAACCTTTCATAGGTTAAGGATAGATGCACATTCAGGACATACTGTACACTGTTATTAACTCCTAATTAATCTTGCATAATGCCAGCCTTGTAAAAATACTAAAATCTGACAATAATGTGCTCATTTATTCACACCTGTTGACGTAAATGCAATAAGCTAAGGAATGCAGATGACCTAGAAAATTTTCAGAAGCAAATATAGATAGCTTGAAGCTTTCCAACAGTCGATAAACCACATATCCAGCTTTCTTGTCAACCAAAAGCTTGAAGGTCATGCTCAGACTTCAGGTTCCATAACAAACAAAATCACAATGTGTCCAAATATGCCCATGGACATGAAATAATTGTTGCATAATCCATCTGATTTTGATTGAATCAGAAAATATTTATATGTTTAAAGGCACTTTTCAGACTCTGAAGACACCACATGGCTGCCTGATCTCAGGGAAGAATTTATCAAACAGGTTGGAGTACTAACTGTTCCTCTAAGATAAGGCCAATTCAGTGCTTGACATAAAAATGCACAGTAGTACTGGCTGAGCATGCTTTCTATTTATGTAAATTGCCTCCCACCTGCTACCAATAAATGGTATTAGTTACGCCTTTTTTAGCCGGTAAATGGATCAGATGAATTAGTATAGCTCAGTATTTTAGGTGTATGGCTGGATGATAAGCAGAACTGTGGCCTTCATCTTGTATTAGGTTCAGATGAATGTATAGCCAAAACTTTATATTTGAACTTTGAAAAGTGTATTGAAGAATTTAATGAAATTCAATTAAATGTATACCCCTGATAGCGTATTTGCTGTCTGTATCCCACTTGGGAGATTTCCCTTTATCTTCTGTCCTGGAGACGCAGCAGGAGACTTTTGGAAATCTTACCAATGTGAGGAATTCCCATCTAAGGCATTTGTCACTGGAAAAGTTGTCCCCATTCGATTATTTACCCACACCTATTGCTATTGTGTATGGAGTTCTCCAATGTTTATGTCTCAGTGACAATGGTCACCAAGGCAAATCAAAAGGGTAGAAGAGACCAGAAGAGACCCAGACAGCAATAAAAACCCTACAGCAAAAAAAATGTTCGATCTAAAACTAAACAAAAAGTGTTTCCTTTACATACTATTTAGCCTAATCCAGAATCAGTGCTGACATTTTTCATACTTAATTCTTTTAGTCAGTTTTAGGCTATTATTTTAAAATTCTCTGCAACATAAGGAATGATGCACACCGTTCTTAAAGTGCATTTCCACTTTTGCTGCCAAAAACAGCTACTTTAAATTTTTACATGCCTCCATTCACATGGCATAACTTAAACATATTTAAAAACTGCAGCTTACCTTTTTCAATAATGTTTCTGCAAACTCCAGGACTCAAAATTCCTGCTTATTTCTTACTATCTGGGGGTTGGGGGGAGTTTTGTTTAAAATAATAATTAACCCTGTCTTTACTGTGCTGGCAGATTTCATTATCATTTGTAAACAAGATGAGCAGGACTAACCAAGGGTCAAAGACCTGAAGAGATTGAGGAGAATTTATCAAAACTGGAGCAGAAAAATCTAGAGCATCTGTGCATGGTAACCAATCAGCTTCTATCTTTCATTTTCAAAGCTTAGCTGAACAAACTGAAGAGAGGAGCTGATTGGTTGCCAGGCACAGCTGCTGCAGATTTTGTCTGCTCTAGTTTTGATAAATCCCCCCCCCCCCAAATGTAGGTTAATAAACTTTTTAAAAAAATGTGT